CCCTATCTATACCTTGTGGCTAATAGCCACTGATGGACCTCTGCTCCATATGCTTATCTAATTCCCTCTTGAAGCCGTCCATGCTTGTAGCCGCCACCACTTCCTGTGGCAGTGAAATCCATGTGGAATTCCATGTCCACAGTACTCGGTAAGCCGAGTAGCGCCTGCTGCCTGCACCCGGGGACAACGAAGGCTCCACAGAAACAAGAGGTGGAAGCTGCAGGATCTCGGTAGCGGCGGCAGCTCTGGGGTTAACCCAAACCTTCCCCCATCCAACACGGACCTCGGGCGAACCCAGGTCAGCCTGGCGCAGCAAAAGCAAAGAAGAGGCGGGCCTTCAAGTGCCACAGAACAGCCTGTCTTGACCCTGCTTCCTCCTCTATGGTGTGCCATATGATGTCTCCGTGAGAGTTAAACTCCGTGCTGGCGCTCGGCAGACACATCTGTGCGCAATGCTGCCACGAGCACCCTCCTTGAGGAGGCGAGCGGCTTTGAATCAGCCCTTTTGAGCAGCAGAAGCCCAATACTCAGCTTCTGAACTGCCACAGCGAGAGACAGAGATTGGATTCATACCCTGCCCTTCGCTACCCGAGGGAGTCTCAGAGCGGCTTTACAATCTCCTTTCCCTTCCCCTCCCCACAACAGACACCCTGTGAGGCAGGCGGGGCTGAGAGAGCTCTTTCAAGGACTTCTCCTGAGAGAACAGCTCTGAGAGAACTTGTGACTGACCCAAGGTCACACCAGCAGCTGCACGGGGAGGCGTGGGGGGATCAAACTCTGTTCCCCCCAGATTTGAGTCCATGCTACTAACCACTATACCAAACTGGCTCTCGACAGTGTGCCCCACACGCTCCCAACCAGATGCCCACAGGGCACCTTGCCTCTGTCTCTTCACCCCAAGGGACCCCCACTCATTCCCCGTCTGCCACAGAATTAACCCCACCCCCCTATATCTAGCCTCCATAATCCTCCTCATGTTCCCTCAATGCCTCCTCCAAATCCCTTTCCTAAACTGTACTTTCCATTAGCTCACTAGGTCTCTCCACCAACACACACAAAATAGCCTTCTTAGGATACTCCCCACCTCAAATAATACATCTAACTTCATTTATACTCTGCATTTCTTCCCAATGAGGTTTACCTTGTTCTCCTCATCTCCAGTCTACCCTCATAACAATCCTATTGAGTCACAAAAGCTCACCCCCGCCACAAATTTTGTTAGTCTTTAAGGTGCTACTGAAGAGAAGAAGAGAAGAGATTGGATTTATATCCTGCCTTTCGCTACCCGAAGGAGTCTCAGAGTGGTTTACAATCTCCTTTCCCCTTCCCACAACAGACACCTTGTGAGGCAGGTGGGGCTGAGAGAGCTCTGAGAGAACCGTCCTTGAGAGAACTGCTCTGAGAGAACTGTGACCAGTGTTCCCTCTAAGCTGAGTTAGTATGAGCCAGCTCACAGTTTTTTAGCCTCTGGCTCACACGTCGCTGTCTTAGCTCAGGGAGGATGGCTCCAGAGCAAGCTAATTTATGCAGTAGCCAAAACGCTCATTCACAACATTAATGCCAGTAGCTCACAAAGTAGAATTTTTGCTCACCAGACTCCACAGCTTAGAGGGAGCATTGACGGTGACTGACCCAAGGTCACCCAGCTGGCTGCATGTGGAGGAGGGGGGAATCAAACCCGGTTCTCCCAGATTAGAGTCCGCGCTCCTAACCACTACACCAGACTGGCTCTGGACTCTTGCTCTTTTCTACTGCAGCAATCCTACGAGGTAGACTAGACTGAGAGTGACTGGTCCATGATAACCCAGCGAGATTTCATAGCAGAGCACGGATTTGTACCTGGATCTCCCAGATTCTAGACAGACACTCTCAACACCACAATGGCTCTCTCTATATAATTATAAACTTTACCCTGTTTACTTCATCGGGCCCACTCAAAGTACTTCCCTGTTAACCCCAAATTAATTCTCTAGGCGTAACACACTCAGCCTGAATCTAATTGCTCCCCCCCACTCCCCCCCCCCAGATCCGTCCCACCCACCCCCATTAGCTCACCAGACTGCTACACCCTCTGGGTACCTCCCCCACGCTGTGAGAACACCTCCACAGCATCCTCCTCGCCTTGACAGAATCCTGCCTATTATCACATCAGAGAGGACCAGTGACTCAGTGGTAGAATTCCTGCCTTGCATGCAAAAGGTCCTAGGTTCAATCCCTGGCGTCTCCAAACACAGAACATGATCAGCTGCCTAGGGAGGTGGTTAACTCCCCTTCCCTGACAGCTTTCAAGAAGAGGCTGGATGAATATTTGTCAGAGATGCTTTAGGCTGGTCCTGCATTGGGTAAGGGGTTGGACTAGATGGTCTGTATGGCCCAACGCTATGATTCTATAGGGAAGACTTCTACCTGAAACCTTGAATAATCAGTATCAGTCAAGGTAGACAATATAGGGTGAGATGGCCAGTGGTGTGGTATAAGGCAAAGTTCTCCTTCCATCAGGCCTTGTCTATTTACACCCCCACAGTAACACTCCTCTTCGGGAAACAGCCCTCTTCCCGATTACCTGACCAAGCGACATGCCCGAGACCATCCCATACCAAGCTCTATCCCTACACCCCCCCAAGGCCGCAGATCCTAGAAGCCAACAGGAACCACAATATTGTTAGGCTTAATATTATCCGTTGAGTCGTGTTGGTGGCTTTACTAATTTTAATGGATTTTTGAAATACGTGTTAATTGCAAAATCTGCATTCATTGCAGCTCTGCCTGTTTGGAAACCGCCCTGAGCCTACAATCTGGAAAGGACAGAAGTCTAATAAAGTAAAATAAGGCCCAATTGCGTAAACCCCCACTAATACACCGTCCCTTCCCTCTCAAGAGATAACCCTCTACCTTTTACCTCAAACCCTTCCCCCTCCCAAGATATTCCCACGCTGTTTCTTTCCCTTGAGAGACCACCTCCAATTGTTTCAGAACACACACAAAGATTTCAAAGGAACAGAGATAAATCAAAGGGACCCATCCCAAGGGACTCTCTCCTATCTCCCCTTCCCAGTGGCCTCATCACCTGCCCACCGCCAAACAATGTTCCCTCTAAGCCGCAGAGTCTTGTGTGCAAAAATTCCGCTTTGTGAGCGACTGGCATTAAAGTTATGAGAAAGCGATTGAGCTGCTGCATGAATTAAGTTTGCTCTGGAGCCCTCCTTCCTGAGCTGAGACAAAAAATGTGTGAGCCGGAGGCTTATAAACGGTGAGCTGGCTCACACGAACTCAGCTTAGAGGGAACGCTGCCGCCAAATACCTTTTCATGAACTGCCCTCAGCCTCTTTACACCCCCCCCCCTCCATGAGGACTCACATCTGAAAGACTCCCCCCATTTCCACTCCAGGGAGACCCTCTTCCATTCAACTCAACCTCCTCCCAAATATTCCCAACCTAACCTTTTCCCCCTTTAGGACCCCAAAATTGCTTTAAAACCCAACACAAAGCAATCTATAGGGATGCCTCCGGCCCCCTAAGCCTATTGAATGCACCAACCTTAACCCCCCCCCCCATAATTGCCCCCAATGGTATTGTGGGGCCCCCCAGCGGGCGCCCCCGCGCCCGAGTCCGGCTCCCCCCTTCCGCCGCCGCCTCCTTACCCGGGTCGTGCCCAGCTCCATCATCACCTCCTCGAAGGCCGCCGTCTCCTCGGCCTGCCGCTGCTTCTGCAGGGCGATTTTCTCGCTGAACTTGCGCGGGTTGGAGGCGGCCGCGGCGGCCACGGCGGAGCAGGACCCCCCGGCCGCGCCGCCGCCGCCCGCGGACGACGAAGAGGAGCTCGGCCCGGCTCCCGCCGCGGCCCCCGAGCCAGATGCCGCCATCTTGGTCCGCCGCCTCCGCCTCACACCCGCCCTGTTCCGTCCCCCGCCCCCAACCGGGTCGCGGCCTTCGCCTCGCTCGCGCTCCACAACACAGCGGCCAGGCGCGGGGCACGACGGGAAAGCGAGTTTGTTTACCTCCCGGCCGCGCGGGGGCCCCCAGCGGCGGAAACAAGCGGAGACTACCGCTCCCGGCGTACTTCGCGGCCCAGGGGCTTTGGGGGAGAAAGGGACGCCGGGAAATGCAGTGCGCTCGGCGCACAAAAGAAGCTTCGGAAGCGGTCGCCGGACTTCCGCTCCCGCCATGCACCGCGCACCGGGCCCTGCCTGCGTCTGGGCCCACACAGGGCCTGGTTGGGGAGTTTCCCCTGTTGGAAAGTGGCGCATGCTTTAATTTTAATTTGGTGGGGAGCCGCCAGGATGGCGAGGGCGAGGCAGTAGCCTGGGGCGATGGAAATCGCAGGCAGGCAGCCGGAGCCTTGGCTGCAAAGAGACCGTGTGATTTGACAATTAGTATTAATAATGCCGAAACGATGGGCAGAGTGCCTTTCCCATAGGCCATTCCTGATGGTAATTTTACATTTTTCCGGGGGGGGGGGAAGGGGGATTATCTGCTATTAATAATAAAATATAGTCCATAGCTGTATTCTTACATGCAGTTGTTAATGTCCAACTGATTAATAATAGTTGAACAATTAATGCTTATGTAGAGTCAGAATATTTCTGCAGGTGTGCAGAATGCTTTTCTCTTTCAATTATTTTTGCTTGCTGTAAAAAAAAATGCATAGGGATTCCATTAAGTAGAAGAATGGAGTGTGGCTGATGGCCAGACCAAAGCTTGCAACCCCCCTCCCCGCCCGAAATCGTGGCCCCCCCCCCCCCCCCGGATTTAATGACCTGGCATTGCTACAGTGGCATTGGTTCTGTTGGGCACTCTGTACATGCACAGGTTTTGCTGGGCCCTCTACATTGACTGGCGTTGCTAAGTTTACAACCCCCCCCCTTTCTAAAAATACTTGGCAGGTGCCAGAAAAGGTGTTAACAGGTGCCCATGAGCATCACATTGGGGACCCCTGGGTGAGAGTGTCTGAGGATCCAGGAGATGTGGACACAAATCCCGACTCATGCGTGAAGCTGAGCGACTGTGGGCCAGATTTCCCCTCTCAGCCTAATCTACCCCACAGGATTTGTGTGAACACAACATTAAGGCAAACCAGTTGCCAAGCTCCTTGGAGGACAGGTGGGATGGAAATGCGATGGATCAGAGAAGAAGAAAAGTTGGACTTATACCCCACCCTTCACCCGGAGCCTCAGGGTGGCTTACAGTCTCCTTCCCTTCCTCTCCCCACAACAGACACCCTGTGAGGCAGGTGGGGCTGAGAGAGCCGTTGGGAACTGCTCTTGAGGGAACAGCTCTGGGAGACCTGTGACTGAACCAAGGTCACCCAGCTGGCTGCATGTGGAGGAGTGGGGAATCAAACCCCGTTCACCAGATTAGAGTCCGCCGCTCTTACCAGTATGCCAAACTGGCTCTCTCGATCGCTTCCTCCCCAGGATTCTGACCGTTTCCGCCGATGTTTTACTCTTGAAGATCTGGTTGGGCATTTGCCGTTCGGCTACAGTAAAAGGATTTCCTTCAGGGACTGAATCGAGGCCTTTGAGCAAATCTTAATGTTCTCAAATGGCTGTCGGAGGCACACCGCAGCTCACTGTCTAACGGAAAGCGCCGTCAAAGAATGGGAGAGGATCCCAACCTCCAACCTGAGTGAGGCAGTAGGTATGAAAGCTCACGTAAAGAAACTGCACAGGAAAGGCCAGAAGAAGAAGAGATTGGATTTATACCCCGCCCTTTGCTACCCGGATGAGTCTCAGAGCGGTTTACAATCCCTTCCCCTCCCCACAACAGACACCCTGTGAGCCAGGTGGGGCAGACAGCTCTTTCGAAGACTGCCCTCGAGAGAACAGCTCCGAGAGAACTTGTGACTGACCCAAGGTCACACCAGCCAGCTGCATGAGGAGGAGGAGTGGGGAATCAAACCCAGCTCTCCCAAATTAGAGGCCACACTCCTAACCACTACACCAGATTGGTAAATGGGGGAGGGGGGGAGATCATGAGAAATGAGAGCCAGCTTCAAGTGGACTGTGGGGTCCCTCTTCCTTTCTGAGAGCTGCTGCCTTCTCGACTTCCAGCTCTGCTCTCCTGGGATATCTGTGCATCGAGCAAACACTAGAGCGGGGGTGTCGAACTCTTTTGTTATGAGGGTCGGATCTGACATAAAGGAGACCTTGTTGGGCATGTGTGTCATAAAATGTAATGCCAGGTAGCGGAGATATAAACTTTACAAAGGACACAAACCCAAAGAATTTTTTTAATTTAACATAAAAACATGCTTAAAACATTAGCTCTGTAAGCTGCAAACCTACTTTTGATTTATTGACATTCACCACAGAAATCTCACGCTCAGAGGACCCAGGGGAAAACATGAAATGGCCGAGTGATTAAGTGAGTCTGGCGAAGCAAGCGATGAGGCAGCAGCAGAACTGGAAGCAGGAGACGGCCAGTTCCACTGTGGGCCTGATGGAAGCCCTCTGGGGGCCTGATCTGGCCCCCGAGCCACATGTTTGACACCCCTGCACTGGAGACACCCCATCAAGTTCCAGTGTGCTTGCTCTCTGTCCTCTAAAGGAAACCAGCTCAAAAACCGCTGCCACACCAGACTTTCTCTCCCAGCAAGGAACAGGGGAGCATGCCAGAATATTTTTGTAGCCATAAGGTCTAGAAACTTTGTCTGAAATGAAAGCAGAGCAATTTTTTCCCCAGGATGTTAACATTCCATATCCCCTGGAACGATCACATATGGCCTGGCTGCACTGCCAAAGGCTGGAGCAGCTCCTTGGAAAACCAGGCCTAAAGTTGTGATCTTTGTGGCTGGCATGAAAGAAGAGGAGGAGGAGGAGGAGGAGGAGATTGGATTGATACCCCACTCTTCACCACCCGAAGGAGTTTCAGAACGGCTTATAACCCCTTCCCACAACCAGACGCCCTGTGAGTGGGGCTGAGTGAGCTCTTTGGAGAACTGCTTGTGAGAGAACAACTCTGAAAGAACTTGTGACTGCCCCGAGGTCACACCAGCAGCTGCATGTGGAGGGCTGGGGAATCAAACCCGGTTCTCCCAGATTAGAGTCCGTGCTCCGAACCACTACACCAAACTGGCTCTCAATCTGGTTTCACTGACATGACTGAAAACCTCTTCTGTGAATGTAGGCAGATCTAGAGACAGAGGGCAAGGATGAGCCCGTGTTTGGCTCTCGTGGCCTTTTTTTACATGCCTGGGGTAATGCCAATGGCCTCTTCGGGGTCAGAAACAGTGTTCCCTCTAAGCTGAGTTAGTGCGAGCTAGCTCACGGTTCTTTAGCCTCTGGCTCACATTTTGGACTCAGGAAGGATGGCTCCCAAGCAAACTAACTGATGCAGTAGCCAAATCGCCTGCTCACAGCTTTTTTTTTCCCTTGGCCCCCCGGTTGGGATTTTTTTATTGCATTTTTTAAATAGACTACGAAAAATTTGGGAAGGGGTAACTACATCTAGGGAGAAAGGAAGGAAAAACACAACTAACTAAAACCCCAAGAATAGGAGATCATCACAACAGCTTGTATAAATGTTAATCTTAAATTGCTAATATTACTTTGAACATAGTCGGCTATGCTAAAAAAAAATATCTTTTACTCCAATGTTTCAACCATTCAAGAGAACCCCCAGAGCATCCCACAATAAAACTAAAGTTTAAAGGCACACTTCCAGATTTTTCTGCTGGAAGAGAGAACGGGTGCCTCGCTCGTGCCAGGAAGCAAGGACGTTTCTTGCCAAGTCTCTCCGGCTGCTGGCACCTCCCGAGGCGGAACTTCAAAAGAAAGAAATGAGAAACGGCTTAGAAGATGAGGTTTTGCAAAACCGGATTAAGGGATTAAATAGAGGGATTTACCCAAGGGAAGCTGGAAAAAACGAAGGATTGCAGACATGAAGGGGATAACGCAGATCCGTGCGGGAAGCGCCACCAGCTAGGAACAGCGAGAGGACAACATCTGCCCCAGGGGCCAGGACACGCCAGGAGTGAGGAATGATAAGGAACGATGCATGTAGCTGGTTGTACGACAGCGTGCTTGGGAAAGCCTGTAGGGTACACGAGCCAGCGAGAGGCAGAGAATGATGGGAGTTGGGGATCTGAGTTCGAATGTCTGTTCAGAGAAAGGTTTTTATGTCCGATGTTCTCTGAAGCTAAACAATCTCACAGGGTTGTTAGGATGGGGAGAAAGCCTCAAATGGAGGTATGGGAGGGATTGCCCATAAAATCCAGTTCCCTTAAAGGTAGATTAAGAGTTTATTATTTATTTTGTACACATTTCTTCCACTAAGCCAGAGGCCCCCAACGGGGCTCCTGTCAAGTGTTTTTAGGGAGGGGGGGGCTACTGAAGAAGAAGAGAAGGGATTGGATTTATACCCCGCCCTTCACTACCCAAAAGAGTCTCAGAGCGGCTTCCAAACTCCTTTCCCTTCCCCTCCTCACAACAGACACCCTGTGAGGTAAAAGAAGAAGAGAAGAGATTGGATTTATACCCTGCCCTTTACTACCCAAAGGAGTCTCAGAGCGGCTTACAATCTCCTTTCCCTTCCCCTCCCCACAACAGCCACCCTGGGAGGTAGGTGGGGCTGAGAGAGCTCTGACAGAATTCCAAAGGGGCGCTTTGCCCAAGGACATCCAGCCAGGTGCAAGTGGAGGAGCGGGGAATCAAACCCGGTTCTCCCAGATTAGAGTCCGCGCACTTAACCACTACACCAGTTGGGTGTAGTGGTTAGGAGGGCGGACTCTGACCTGGGAGAACCAGGTTTGATTCCCCACTCCTCCACATGCAGCTGCTGGTGTGACCTTGGGTCAGTCACAAGTTGTCTCAGAGCTGTTCTCTCAAGAGCAGTCCTTGAAAGAGCTCTCTCAGCCCCACCTACG